AAGTGAGGTTATCTGAATTAAACTTAGGTTTTAGAAGTTTTTGTGGTCATTTTGAATCTTGTTAGTTTTATGTTTTTATCATTTAAGTTTAAAATTTTGTTTATTTTGTCACTTTTTCTATAGACACTCAGCATCTCTTTGACCAGTGTCGCAGTGAGCTGAGAGTGCTGAGAATAAACTGGGAACATTCACAAGACAGTCTCTAAAACATCTTGAAACATTAGCTGAAGTTTTCAATTTGCTAATGGGAGTTGCAAAGTCTTGTTCTTGTGTCAATGGAATTTTGAACAATTTAGGAGAAAAAAATCGTGAAATTTATTTAAGTTTCGTTTCTGTAAATCTAAATGTCTGGAGCTCGGTTTATTTTATTTATTTTTTATGTGTTCAATGTCTTGCAGAATTTTAGCCCAAATTTTGCCCAGAATTGATGCAAATATTCCATTTTAGTGTGAAGTTTTGATTATTTCCTATACAGACCTTGGATCTCTAATTAGTCTGTAACATTTGCGGTCTAAAAACACATTACCTTTTGCCATTTTGTGCATCTTTAAGGCTGTTGTTTTGCCTGATTTGCATTTTTATATATTTTACTTTCGTCTCCTTGGATCACCAAGGATGGATGTGTGGTTGTGAACTTTGATACATGCAGTGGAGAAAAAGAGTAAAATACATTCTGTATCATTATTACAGCTAACAGAAGCATAAATCTACTCCTTCTGACCATTTGACCAAACAAAGTATGGTTTGAGTTTTAACTTCCACAGTGCAGTCATTTCTTGTCATGTCTGAATACAGTCATGTCTTGGTAATGAATCACTGGTCAAAAACAAAAAGACAATTTGTCTGCGTTTTATCCTGCTCCCATCACTTTAGCAGCATCCTGACTCATCAGGAAGGCCCACTTGAATAACAAAAGCTTTCATTTAAATAAATGAAAAAATGTTTACTCATTTCAGTGTTTCCCCTAGGAAATTGGTCTTGGGGGGGGGTACTTGTTTTATAAAAACATAAATTTACGTGACTCACCTGCAATTATGGTAATAAATTTACACATACATGAATA